AAAGAAACATAAGAGCACTTTGGCAGAAGAGGCTTCCTAGAGATGCAGCTACATAAAAATCCTGTTTATCCAGTTTACCTTACGTAATCATTCAATTTGCATGCTCACACACTGAGTAAAATGATGTTTCTGTCTGTTGGTAAATCTTATTTGAAAGTTTGAATGCTAGAAGTAAATGGCAGAACTAAGAGGAGGACATGTAGGTGAGTGAGCTATTTCTAACATGAGGACATGATTACAAAACTAAAACAAACAAAGGTACTGCAGTAGGATCCACTGTGACTGATGCTAGTACTTTTCTGTTGTTCGTATAGCTTTCTCCATGGAGAAACATATTAAACCAGATTTTCAGATTGAACACAGAGAAGGAATTCTTACGGACATAAATAAGCAATATGGTAATAGCAGTAGGTACAGTTATAACTGGGAGAATGCCAAAGCAAAAGCAGCAAAACAGCAAAATGCAAATTTGTTTACTCTGAAATTTTTCTGTTTTTGCTTATAGTGAAGTTTAAGATGGTGGTTACACAAATGAGATTTGCACGCTGTGGTTGAGCAGTAGAATTTTGCAAATTTACACTATGATTACAGATCATAGTGTAATATACCTGGTATACCTTTTGTTTTAAGATTTCTTGCTTGAACTATGAATAAAATCATCTGCTCACTACAGCAGGAGAAGTAGAGAAGCCACCTTTAAGGGCTTTACCCATACAAAGACATTTTTTGCTGACAGAATGAGAACATTAGTGGACCAGTTTTAACTAATTCTGTTAACTTTTCCTCAGGAATTTTTGAGGAATATTTTCCAAAGTCCTTGTTGGTAAATTGTGAGGTGAAACAGATACATCATAAACAAGATTAATGCAACATATTGCCTGTTGACTGAGAGAGGTCAGTCCCTCTGTGCCCCTGCCTCACATGGGTACCCCTGAGCAGTCCCACTGGCTGCAGCTCTCCCAGCACCACTCTGAGACAGCTCTGTGCCTTCATGTTCCAAATGACAAATCTACAGCTGTAACTATTAAATTATGGATTGATTTTTTTTATTATGGATACTTTTAGCCATATGCAATACATAGTAGAACTCAGAATGAAAACAAAACAGTAAAATAGCATGACATTTCTTAAAACTACTGTAGTCATGTTTTTTGTTTTTTTTTTTTTTAACTGATCCGTTGTAGTTCAGGCACTTTTCACTGTGCAAGATACCATTTAAAATGCTAGTTATTATAGCTAACACTAAAAGAAAATAATAGCACAGATAATCTTATGCCCCTTTAGATGCTGGAGCCTTGAACAGTGAGTGTAGCATCAAAGTGGAGTTCCAAGCCACACAACCACCACGTGGACATTTTCTGTAACAAAAGTTCTCCCCTTTCAGTCAATCAAACCATATATGACTGCCTCACAGGGAAACACCTCTGTTCATCATTTCTGCTATCAAAGACAATGATGTTTTTGTGAGAACTTCTTGCCGCTCTATTGAAATAAAAGTGTATAAGTGAAAATAAAAGTGATAAAACTGAAATTACACAGCAATCATAATCACTGGTACGAACCAGGGGCTGCCTGCTAGCTTCTCTGTTACAAACAGCTGGCTGAGATTGCTGTGAAGCCCAGGGATCTGTGCAGAACAGCACGTGGCTGAGGGTTGCAAGGGGCAGTTTTGGATACACTGGGGTTAGCCCTGGCATGGATCACCAGCTTGTTGTCATGCAGCAGTTTCCAGTTAGGATCCCCACTGCATGTCCTGGTTAGTAGTGAAAATACAGGATCATTGTACTGTGTCTTTGTATTAAATGATTTTCAGAGAAGTTCTGATACTGAATTCTTTCTTTGCAGGAAATGGTGAAAAAGAAGATAAAGCGTCAGCTGACAAAACAACAAAAGTCTGCTCTGAGACAACGACTGCAGAAAGGAGAGGCAAATATTTATACCAAACAGCGTCGAGAAAATATGTACAACATTAAGTCAAGCTTGGACGCAGCTAGTTTCTGGGGATAATTTATTGAAACTACTGTAAACATCAGGAAACAAATAGTACATACAGTTGAAAGAATGTTATTAATAACAGATACTCATTTTATACAATGGAGCAACAGCTCTTCTATACAACACTGTTCTTCTGAAAGCTAATAAATATCATTCTTGTTCCTATGGTCTTGTTTGGAAAATTTTCTTTTGTGTTTCTAGTTTAAAAACCACTGACTGTAATTTAAGCTAAATCTAGATGTGATCCTTTAACTGTAGAAATTGCCAACAGTACCTTGTTTTAAATTGATTTTACTGTGTTTATATAGATTAAAAATCTTCCACTGTGCAAAGGATTCCTTTTTAAAATATCCCTTCCTTCAAGGTTAGAGCTAGTTTTTGCAATCACATGAAGTTTCAGTGCAAAATGCTGCCTAGTTATAAATGTTTGGCTTAATTAAAAATCACAAGGAAATACTAACAAATGGCCTTTCTTTTCTACCCCATTAGATTTTTCTGTTCCATAAGATTTCTTGTGACCGTGAGCAAGCACCATCAAACAATATAACACTATTCATTCTTTGAATTCTTTATCAACTTTTGATAAAGAATCAACTCTTTTTTTAACTTTCATTCTAAGCAGTCTCACATAAAAAATCTTGCCCAGAAAGAAGTGTAACAAGTGCTTTATGGATATGGCAGTCACTTGGGTTTCGGATGTACCTGTGCAGTTACCAGTAAATTTAATTTCTTTAGTAACTTACATATAGCAATGAGAACTGTGAACTTCTCTTTTCGAAAATATTACCATATCTTTTATGTTATATCCTGGGGCTCTGAAGGCCTAAAAGATCAAATGCTTTGATGTATCTGCACTTAAGATATGAGTTGTAGCCTTTCTGCGGAAGGATAACTTGGTGAAGTTTATCAGTCTGTAGTTTCCAACATCATACATCTTCTATTTGCCAGGGGGAAATCAGGAATTTGAATGATACTTTAGATGTTATGTGCACACATCTAATGTTATCTGTTCTACCCCTTCTACCTGATATTCAGCTTGTAGTTAATTGAAGAACCATAAGCTTTGTTCTGTCTTGAAGCATGTTCCTGATTTGAAAGCTACTAGCTATGGTCTTGCTGTTACAATACAAAAGCTAGTATTGCCAGCATCTGTACATGTCCTTAAAGCCACAGCAGGCCAGTGACAAGATGCAAGAGATAAATGCTACCTGAAGCATTGCAGCTGTGGGAAAGTCTGGTGACAGAAGGAAGCCCAATTAAGTAGTAGATATAAGTGATTGCAATCAAGATACGCAATCCTATTTTCTGATCCAGATAGAACTCATTTTATCTGGAGCAGAAATGTGACCTAAGTTAATTTAATTACATTTCTATTTCAAACATCCAGAGGAAAAAACATCCTTGTATGTTTCTAGGCTGTTATCTATTAAGAGGTTGTTTCAGTGACAACGGTATTTCAGTTGCAGTTCTTTGCCTAAGATGTGCACTTCTTGGCTTATAAGTCTGAACTTTTCACAGCGAATGAGTTCTTTCTGATGCGTGACCTTAAGTCTGTGTTGGTAATGGGTTCCAAAAATACACAAAGGCTGTCCTGCTTGATTCATCTCCACAGAACAGAAGCGGTGATGGAAATCTTTGCTGTTTGTTTTCACAGTGTTCCTTTAAAACATCCATTAACTGTTTTAAAAGTACTCTAATGGATGGCTGTAAGTTATCATTTCCTTTTACTGGAGTTAGTGAGGAAGGAACAGCCTCATGGTTACCACTTAATATATCTTTATTAAGCTTTTTGTTTTTTTCTTTTTTCTTTTTTTTTAAAGCAGCAGAATTCCTGAAATATCTGAAGTCACTGAAGGTCACAGCAACGTTTGCACACAGTAAACTTTGGAGTGCTATTTAGAGTGGACTTAAGGAAATGCAGTGGTTAGGACAGCAGCGTTACAGCTCAGCAGCAAGGAACGTGGGTTGTAACAAAACCTGTTCAATGTATTTTAGTAGTCATAATGGTGGTTCATTATCTTGTAGGCAAAATTTGAAGATAGGGAGTGGATACACACTGTACAATGCACTTGTTATATGCAATGGTAGGTGTTAGAAGAGATACAAGTTTGTGTTGCAGTTTTCCATCCTAAAAAAAAGATAAAAGTTGTTTGGGAACATGGAAGGAAGGACTACACGTATGTCTTTTTTCCAAACCAGGAAGACTTTACAGGAACTGAAATAAGAGTGCTTTGTACTGGCAGTGCAGCCCGGATTGGTGCAGCTTGTGGCTGTTACACAGATGTGCATGGCAGCACCGTGTGTACGTTTGTACTTCAAGCTTTCACCACTGCATCTGTGTCTGTCCTGACTGGAGCGCCTTTTGAGGCCACTGCACTTTTCTCTTACATGTTAGTAGTTTAACACACTGTCATTTTAATACACACTGTGTAGGGAGCGAGGAAAAAAGATTCAAATTCAGTTAACACACCACAAGTTTAATTTTGCTGTTTCAATTTATTTTCCTCTTGCTGTTAATATCAAAGTCCCATCCCTGCTGCAGGACTAAAGGAAAAAGAACATACTTCCAGTTTGCTGCTGTTATTTCTCAGCAAAAATCTGCTTCTTCTACAGTACTGCTTGTGGAGCAGCTTTACAACTTAATGAAGCAGCGTATCTTCAATCTTCTACAATTTGAGAGTCTGGGGGAAGCGAAGAGATTTTCTCCTTCACTTGAAATAAACCTGAGCGGTCTTAGCTCCAACACATTGTCCCCATCCAGGCGAAACGCAGGTCTCTCCCCCCTGCCCGCCGACGGGCGCGCTTCGCAGGAGGAAACCGCGCACTGAGCGTGCCAGCCTGCTTTGCAGCTCCGCAGCGCTGCGCACGGGGAGGTGGGCCCTTGGAGCGCCTTGGAGTTTGAGGCAGTGCCTGATTGGGAGACGAGGGGAGACTCCTCAGGAGCCCGGTGCATCAATGAGCTGCTGCAGGAAGGCTGAGCTCGGCTCACTCGGGCATGAGGACAGTTGGTGGCCGCTGTCTGGCAAAGCAGGATGGAGATGGACAGAACCCTGGAGTCTTTGCAGCTGGTGATTGCCCGAGTCCTGCCTCACAGAGACCCTACCCTGGTGTTTAAGGACTGTAAGTACCACGAAACTGTCCGGCTTCTCTCAGCGTGTTTCTTATAGTGGAGATAGTAAGAGAGAGAAGTAATAAGTAATCTGCTTGCATCTGTGTGTGAATCACAAGCTGTAGTTGTTTTAACTCTGCCTATTGCAGGCAGTGTTGCTGGTTGCGTGTGGAGTTTGCATGTGACAGACTTGATTCAGAGCCTTTTCATAGGATACTTACTTGCATCCCAGAAACTACTCCTGGTGAAATTTTTACTAATGACAATCCTGGAAAGCTTTCTGTCAGCTCCCTTCCTCCAGCAATTAGTTTGAACTATGAAACTACATTTCTTTTTAACTACTGATTCTGTAAAACTAATAAATAAATATCACAATCTTTATGCACAGATGCAATGTGAGGAAATGTTTTCCTGCAGGCATGTGGAATGTGAACTGTTTTTCAGTTTCCAACTTGCCAACAGCTGCACCTTTCCAAAGCATGCCACAACTGCTTGCCTCGCTGTCCTTTCTCGCTCTCTTGGTTTACAAACTGTGTAAATGGGTTCTGAAGTGCTTTGCAGTGAGTGCTGCACAGGAAACTGCTCTCTTAACATCCTTTGAAACAAACAGAGTGGAATGTGGTTCACGTGGTGGAAATGTGACTATTTAAATTGTGCTTTATGATGAGCACAGGGCTGCACGTGGAATGAAGTGCTGTTTAATTGGCAAATTTTTACAGAGAACGTTCACATTGCCATAGATTTCACACAGTAGTGGGGTAGAAGCCTCCAATAAATTGAACAAACAATAGCTAAATCTCATTGTTTTTACAGTTTCCTCCAGAGGTGAGGAAGATATCCCACAAATCCTTCCCTATGTTAGCTTTGTGACTGCTGAATTAGGAGTTTGCTGGGTGCTGTTTCAATGAAGTTGGTGAATTGTATACTCAGTGAATATACAGATGTTATAATTGTGAAATAAACAAGCAAGTTTGACTAAGCAGGTTATTATACCAAAAAGAAAAGAGAGTGCTTACCCTTGTCCTAGGCTTGCTGGAAAACTCCAAAGGAGGGATCTCCAGAAAGAGATCCTTCCCCACTGCTAGTCAGCTCTTAAATGGGTCAAGGAGATATGGAGCCAGGCTTCACCCTTTCCAGCAGCAAAGGTGAATTGCCCTCACCTGTGCTCCCAGGGCTGACTCACTGCTTGTCTCAGGTGATCAAGCTGGTGTACTTCTACATTAAATGTCTCTACTTGCTAGATTCCATGTTCAGATACACAGAAGAGTGAAGCTGTTCTGCAGTTATGCGACTCTCTGGGAAGAGTAGTAGGACATCGCTCTCCTACAAATGTGGCGTAAGGATCCATCCCCAAACCTAAACATTCATGTCAGTGCTTCAGCCCCCTCCCAGAGGAGGTTTATGTGCTGCTGGGTAGGACTGCATTACGGCTGCAGCTTCAGGACCTCACAGTACAGTCTGTGAGAGCACACATGTCACAGGAACAAAGAATTGGGTGGAGGGGTGGGCTGCAGGAAAAAGGGCATTCCCTTTCATGAGTTACCACGGGTAACCAGTTCCAGCAGATCTACGCACACGGCTTTTATTGAAAGTGTGTGTAGGAGCTGCTTGGACAGCACACTGTGACCACCCACAGATCGAAGGCACGGGGAGATGATTAAAGCAAAACGAAAGTGCAAGTGGTTCAGAGTGCTGTTTTTCTTTAGATTTTCTGAGGTATGGAAAGAATTCTGGGGGTGTTCAAATACAGGTTTGATCTAGGAGATTTACTCCAAAAGTAATGCTTCCTATTTTATTGTTTTGGCCACCAACTTCAGAGGCAGATGTTGGTGCTATGGCAGTAGAGGTGGAACCTTCCCACCAGTTTCCCAATACATGTTGTTACCGTGTGACCGATGGCAGCAGAGGGGCACTCTGACAGAATGAAAGCATGTATCAAGCAAAAATGTATCACAGATTACCTCCACATTGAAAAAATGAGGCCCATCAACATTCATTAACACTTGCTGAACATTTCTGAAGACCAAACAGTGAGGCAAAGGGTGATGAATTTCAGTTGTGGCAACAGTGACAGTGGGTCACCTTTGCTAGTGCAGATCTCTACAAGCAAGCTCAGCATGCAATTGTTCATTGCTGATGGAAATGCAGAGCTAATGGTGGTACCTATGTTGGAAAAAAAAGTGTTTTGTAACTGAGAATTTGCTCTATCAAACAATGTTATTGTGCTCTTTGTACCTGTTGTATTTTCCATGGAAATAAAAAGGAGACATTACTTTCAGAACACCCTACTTAAATAGATAGGTTTGAAGTTGCTGTGAGTGCATGCTGCCAGTTCTAACTGGTAACAGAGCGTTTTGCATGTTATTTGGATGAGAACTTACATGTGTTCTCTTTATCTTGTCAAATCTATAAAGTAAGTAGTGTCCATCTCTGATTTTTAATGGGATTTAAAGCAATATAATGATGTCTCATGCTTCCCCCATGAAAGCATGCTCTTACAAACATGCTGCTTTCAACTTTTACTGGACCAAGTAAGAATGAAAAATCCAGCACCCACTTTGCTACAGTGGCACCTGCCTTTTTCACAACCTGGGCTAGCTAGTATGTAGAGGAGACTGAGTTTTGCTGATAGAGGAAGAATATGCATCTCAGAGCAAGTCTGCTGCTGCCTGCTCTTGCAGCCCAGGAACTTTCCTTATGCTGGCCGAAGGGTAGAGTGTGAGGGATGCCCTGCAGAAAGCTTGTCCCAGCCGCAAAAGGCAGAGGTGCAGAGTACGCACTGCTGGGTGCTGTTGGCAGGAGTGAGCACAGCTCCTTCTGGGGCAGCCTCTCCCTCCAGTAGCAGGGATGAGATTTAAGGGAGATGCATGATCACAGCTGGGTGCACTGGCAGCAGGACAGCCTGTACTTCACCTGTATCACCACAGGCAGTCCTGCAAAAAACCTGAAGTGAGAAAGATGAGTGGTCCTTCTTCCTTTGTCCTGTTGGTATATAAACCAGAGAGGTGTGCATGTATCTGAAAAGGTGCTGGCCCTGGCTGCTGGGGAGGAATGAGGAAGTGTTAGTATGTAATAAACTACTGTGTAATTAAATTCACTCTCATGTTCATACTCCTTCTCCATACATACTATGGATGTATTAGAATACATTGGTGTAATCTAACTTTCAGTTTTCGTGTTTCTTTTGTTGCAAGCCAAAGCAGCTTGCAGTTCATTATGTTAATCCTAGTCCCTCTGAATTTGGACTCAGAATGGAGTCAAGATGTTGATTAAACAAGGAAGTACTTTTATTTATTAAAAGAGAGGCAAGCAAGAGAGGGAAAACAAGAGAGAAGAAAAGGAAGGAGAGAAGGAAGGGGAAAGGATGGGAGAGAAAGGGAAGGAAAGCTTAAGGGGAAGTGGAGCAGAGGAAAGAAGAGGTCTTCTCCTCCTGGGATGGTTGAGGATGTGGTGGGATGAGCACAGCTGGCTATGGGTTTGGCAATGCCTTTTATGCCATAGCATGGTTCCCTTCAATTGGCCCAGGAGCTATTGCTGGGATTAGAGTGTTTGCCCTCAGGCATTGTGCACATACCAACCATGTTTCTCCCTTCATATGGTGGTCATGGAGGGTCATGGCTGTGGGGGGTGGGGACCTGAGACTACTTAAGCAAGGTCTCTACTTCCTGGCTTCTCCATTGTGCTTGGGCACTGCATGTGTTTGTTCTGCACATTTCACAAGGTTGGTACAGTACAGTGTTCTGAGGCCTTCACAAGGTTGTTATGGTTTTGTCTCTAGTCACCACTTAGCTGCAAGTCCACCTCTTCACCAATCAGAGAGAGAATTCACAGTGCTCCCAATTCTGTATTGTGTTGTCACAGAGGCTGAGCCAGAGAGAAATGTCACTTCATTGCTATACCTTTAAAAATAGATAGATTCTTTGACAAAAATGTGGATATCCAAGCAAGAAAGGAAGCTGGTAGACTCACAAATTCTGGCAAGTAGAGTCCAATCAAAACCTGCAATACAAAAGGGTTGTTTTTATTTTAATATGTCTGTTGGATCTAAGAGAATGAAGTGCACTGTTTTTATCATAAAATCATAGAATGGCTTAGATTAGAGGGGATCTTAAAGATCGTCTAGTTCCAAACCCCTGCACAGAGAAGCTGTGGATGCCCCATCACTGGAGGCATCAAAGGCCAGGCAGGATGAAGACTTGGGCAGACTGATCTGGTGACAGATAACCCTGCCCATGGCAAGGCTTTTCTATTTCCTAGTAGTTTCCTTTAACTAAAATGTATAATTGTATCACCACCTGTAAATAAGTTTTATAGATGAAAGAAATGGGAAAAACCCTTTACCTGATGTGGAATTGTTGAGTACAACCACCGAGGAATATATTACAGAAAAGTTTCCAGAATTAGGGACAATTTGATATTGAACTAATTTGTGGAAGGCCCAAAATATATGTCAGTATTCAATTCTGTAGAATTTTTACTCCAATATCTGCTGAGATAACTGCATGGGGAGTATGTAGATGACTTCACTTGGCAAATGCCCTGCTGAAGAGCTCAGATTCTGATGGCTGGGGCACTGCGGCAGCAGCAGGCTTTCCCTGCAGCTCTAAGCTGACACCAAGCAGCTACATCTAACTTACTGCAGTACTCATGGTGCTACATCTGGGTCTTGGTCTCTCTCCTGTCTTCAGCTCTAGCTTGTCTCCTCTCCAAACCCAGGAGAGCAAAAACAGCTGAAAAGCATTTCATGTGTTACACAGCTGGAAGACCTTCTTTTTGATCCTTCCAGGAAGCAAGCTAAAAGACACCAGCTTGTTTGTCTGGTGTTAGACCTGTGATGCATTTTCTTGGCTGTGTAGGGTGTGGGAAAGGAGTTGCTCTTCTAACTGCCACTTGCGCCTTGCACTCACTGGGATAGTCTGTGTGGGAGCCATCAGCCTTACCACACTTTCGAGATGAGTCATCAGCAAGCCAAAGCTGGAAAAGGAGTCAGAAAGAGCACAAACTAAGCCTC